TTTTTTTTTTTTTTGATCAATTAACATTTCAAAAGTTTTTTTGTATGCACTGTAATATTTAGTGAAAAATAAAGCTTTTATTTTGCACATAACCTGAAAAAGAAATTAATAATGAGAAAGAGTAAAAACAAAATTAGGTTAACCTACAACTAATAAAGATCATAACACTTTATAAAAATTAGTCTAATTAAATACTTTAAAAACTTTTCAGAACCCAATAAACTGACAGGTTGTGTAAAAATAAGACGGTATTAGCTAGTTTCTTATCCCACAAAATAGTTTTTGATTAAGGACACTACTGTAGTAAAACAATAAATTAATCTAACCTGCTAAGTTTTCGTCTTTCTTTTTAATAGTTAAAAACTTAAGTAAAGAGTGTTAAAAATACAGAGAGCACCGTTTACGACAGTAGAAGGGGAGATAAAAGGCGAAACACTGTTTTCTGCTGAAGCCCAGCTTTCCATTGATGGGTCTTCTAGGCAGTTCTTGAAGACCGCGAATCAGCGCAAACACTGTCGCGTCCGGACCGTATAGCAATTGTCAGTAGAATTTTTGTTTTTGCCGCAGATATTATTGATACAGCAAGTTCCCTTGGCGAAACCCATGCTATCTGAAAGGTTATAATTAGTCCATACTCAAACCAAAAAACTGACGAAGTGTTACCGGTGATCGTTTTTTTATTTGGTATAAATATTTCTCATTTTCACCGAAATGGTCGGTCTCTTCTTTTTCAATGTAATCTCTACAAGATGTTATTGAAGTTATTCTGAAGATTCATTAATTGGTACGGCAAAAAAGAATGACCACCAGCAACAACTAACTAATCACACTTGAAGCGTTAAAAAATTTTTGCGGAGAATAACTAAAGGAGAGGTGAGAAAGACTGAATTAGGCACAACACAACACATACATATATACTGACAGTTATCTGCAGTTACTTTTTTCAATGCAAATAGTTAAAGATATATTAGGCATTTTAAAGTCCTTCAGTTTTTTACAAATGTAAAACAAAAAAAACATTACAGGAGAGTTCCCACTATTTTAATTTTGGGTTTATAAATCTAAAATGTTCAAGTTTTAAAGAAATTTTAGTGGTTTATCATGTTTTGCATGAAATTTTTTTGCTTTTACGTGAATTATTAGTCAGAGTTGTAACCACACCAACTTTGTCGAACAATGCGTAGAGACTAAATGAGCCTAAAGGCAGGACACCCGAATGGAGTAATTCTTTATGTGTTTATATGGTAAATGATCTCAATTGCCTATTTCTGGGTAGCAATGATCAAATTTCTCATCCGTTCACATCTGAACAGTCATTATGGTATTACAGTTGCAGTTCATCACACAATTAAACACTTTTGGTGTGAAACTTAATTGTTACTAAAATTACAAATAACTAAATTAACTGAGAATTGTTAAA